ATCTAAATATTAATGTTTTAAAGAAAGATAGAATGTATTATGATTTTGTTAATGTTTTGAATATGTATGATCTAGTGTATAAAGTAGATTTTCCAACAAGAGTTACTGCAGAATCACAAACTGCAATTGACAATGTTTTAACAAATATTCCAGATGAAATCTGCCAAATATCAGGTATCATAACCCATATATCAGACCATGATGCACAGTTATTTGATCTATATGGCTTGACAAACAAAGAACCTATTTCAAAAAGATTAGTGCGCAAATTTACAACAAATAATATTGCTACATTTTTTGAAAGTTTAAAACGGGAGTCTTTTCTGCAGGTTTATCAATCACCAGTAGAGGCAAAGTATGATGTTTTTCTAGAAATATATTTGTACAATTTTGACAACTGTTTCCCTAAAATAATGGATAAGATAAAAAAAAGATAAAAGTAATCAATGGATAACCGATGAGATCGTTCATAAGAAAAATGAAATTATTAAATTGGAAAAAAGCTTTAGGTTAAGTAAAAATGAAAATACTAAGGTACGAGTTAAAGATTTAAAGAAGGATCTGAAAAGATGTATTTTTAACGAAAAAAGTAACTTTTTTGATAGTAAAATTATGAATTCAAAAAATAGAACAAAAACCACCTGGAACATAATTAGAACAGAAGTTAAGAAAGAATCAATTTGTACTTTGAATAAATCTATTATACAATCTGGAAAAATATTAACAGATCCAATTGAAGTTGCTAATGCTTTTAACCAATTTTTTGTCTCTGTAGTTGAAGATTCAGTTTTGCCTAAGATTCCTCAAAGTACAGAATCTACACAACTAAATAAAAATTCCGATAAACCGCGTTTTAAATTTCATCCAGTGACGGAACAAGACGTAAAGAAAATAATTATTTCTTTTGAAAATAAATTTTCAACAGGATATGACGAAATTTCCATTGATATCATAAAAAAAACTCTTCCTAGTATTTTAAAACCACTTGTACATTTAATAAATTCCTCTTTAATATCAAGTATTTTTCCAAATAAACTAAAGATTGCAAGGGTTATACCAATTTTTAAGAAAGGTGACTTAAATGACCCATCGTGTTATCGTCCGGTATCGCTTCTCCCAATTTTTTCTAAAATATACGAGAAAGTAGTTTACTCTCAATTAGCAGATTATTTAACCATAAACAATTTGTTGGACAAAGAGCAGCACGGTTTCCAAAAAGGAAAATCCACCATATCAGCTGGGATAGAATTCATTCAGTCAATAATAGATTCAGTAGATAAAGGGCAAAAAGTGGTTGGTATATTTCTTGACTTGACTAGGGCTTTTGACAGTGTGTCACACAAAAAACTCTTAATTGCATTGCAAAATTTAGGAATTACTGGCAAAGAGTCTAAATGGTTTGAATCATATTTGGGAAATCGGGAGCAATTTGTAGAAATTGAGCACACTATTAACTTCAACAATTCAAAAAATCACTATAACTATATCCGGAAGTTTAACTCTCAAAATTTAAAAATTAAACACGGAGTACCACAGGGGTCAATTTTAGGACCTTTATTGTTTCTTTGTTACATAAAAGGGCTACCTGACTTACTACCCGTAAACAGTAACGTATGTTTATATGCCGATGACTCTAATATCACTGTGACAGGGAATTCCAAGGAGAGTATTGAAATTGCATCATTTATTAGTCTCTCAATTATTAAAAATTTCCTTGATGGTAAAAACCTTCTTCTTAATTCAAGTAAATCCACTTTCATATCTTTTTGTACGAAACAAGCGAGGGTCAAACTAAAACCAGAAATCTATTTAGATGACAATCAATTAGACCAAGTAGAAGTTACAAAATTTCTGGGACTCTTCATTGATGCTAATCTGAGCTGGGACGATCATACAAAACATGTTGTTAACAAAATGTCAACAGGTTTGTCTGCCTTGAGACAAATGGCTAAATTTTGTAAATTAGAAACATTAAAAACAGTTTATTATTCTTTAATTCATTCTCACCTGTCATACGGAATAAGCATTTACGGAGCAACAACGCAGAAAAATTTAGATAAAATCTTGCGGAAACAAAAAAATGCGTTAAGAATTATGTTTAAGTTGAAAAGGGGTAAATCTGTTAAACATTTATTTACTTCCACAAAAATCCTAACGGTTTATGCTCTCTACATTTTAGAGACAGTAATGTATGTGAAACAACTTGAAAATCTAAATTTTGTAAACAACGTTCACCCGTACAACACCAGATTAAATAGACAGGTAGAACCACATAATTTAGAATTTTTCAAAAAGAAAACGAAATATATGGGAACAAAATTTTTGTTTCATTTACCAAGGTCATTTCTTGGTGAACAAAACTTAAGTAAATGCAAGAATGACTTAAAGGAATATTTGGTAAAATTAGCCCCATACTCTTTAACCAATTTTTTCGAAAACCACAGAGTTTAGAGTAATTGATGAGTAACAAATCAAATCAATAATTGATAAGAAAATGAACCTTCCATACACATTAATTAATTTACTTTTAATTTAGACGAAATTAGTGTAACTGTTTTTATATATAGGATTATTGTCATTACTATTTCTTTTTGTAAACATTGACACTATTTGTTGTACCTTTGTGCAAATTTATGAATAAAGAATGTTTGAATTGAATTGAATTGAAGTATTTAGGACTGACACTTGACTCCAAGCTGACGTGGAACAACCACCTGAATAACGCGCTCCATAAGGCCAAATGGGCGCTCATGACGTCCAGGAGGTTTGCAGGAACCACCTGGGGAATTAAACCCCACATAGCACTCTGGCTATACGAGGCTGTGGTCAGGCCTCAGATTACCTATGGTTCACTAGTCTGGTGGACAAAGGTGAATCAGGTAACTGTCATAGCCAAGCTAGAAAGCATGCAAAGGCTCGGCACGCTACAGGCCACTGGAGCCTTCAGAAGCAGTCCATCAGCTACTCTAGAAGTCGCTCTTGGGCTGCTACCACTGGACATCTTCATCAGATCTGAGGCCCTCAAGGCAGCTTACCTGAGGGCTTGTCTGAGGGTTGCAAATCTGTGGAGGGAAGGCCTGTCAGGGGGCCACTGCGCCATTGCTAAGACTTTGGCTGAGTGTCCTGTGCTTGACATGACCTCGGACTTCCTAAGCAAGGAAGCAGTTTTCACCAAACCCTTTAATGTTGAATTCCGCTCCAGAGATGAGTGGAAACATCAGGAAGGGCATCTCCAAGATATGGAGAGCTTCGTCTGGTACACAGACGGCTCCCTAATCGATGGAAAATCTGGTTTTGGGGTTTACTGTCGATCACCCAGAACAGAACTATCAGGAAGTCTGGGACAATACTGTACCATCTTCCAGGCAGAAATCTATGGCATCTTGGCTTGTGCCAACCTAGGACTAGCCAGACGGTACCAAGACAAAAGGATAGTGATTTTATCTTATTGTCAGGCTGCTCTCAAAGCTCTTGACTCAAATGAAGTCACCTCAAAACTGGTCTGGGAGTGTTTCAACACCCTCTGCAGACTTGCATCACAGAACTCTGTAACTCTCGGCTGGGTCCTAGGCCATGTAGGCATTGGCGGCAACGAAAGTGCAGACAAGCTGGCAAAAAAAGGTGCGAGCATGCCACTCTATGGACCAGCCATTTTGTAGCATCAGCAAAGCGGCCGCTAAACATGTAATCAACAAATGGTCCAGGGAACAACATCTTGAGCGTTGGCGTAATTATCCTGGACAATCACTTGGCAAAAAACTGCTCTTAGAACCTAGCACCCTCTTCACTCGCTGGCTGCTAAAGCTGGGGAGAGGGCAGGTCAAGCAGGTACTTGCTCTTATCACTGGACACGGCCATTTCAGGAAACATCTCCACACTCTAGGAATTGTCAATGACAAGCAGGAGTGTCGACTTTGTAACCAGTCCGATGAGACTGCAAAACACATTATTCTGGACTGCGATGGACTACGGGCTAGGAGAAGGGCTCTGTTTGGTCTAAAGCAGCCAGGTGAGGAACCAGACGCTAACATTGGGCAAAAGCTCCTGCACCTAGTTAGGGACACAGGCATAGGCTTACTCAGTTAGTGGCAAGCGGGATGCACAATAAGCTTCGGTTGACGTGCTTGGACCATGAGTCCACCCTCTTACAATCAATCAATCAATCAATCAGCTAAAAATAAAGTAGCAATCTCCCAGTCACAGGAAACTCAAACAGATGATACATTTATTCCTATGAATAAAAATACCGAAACGCAAACTGAAATTAGTAGTTTGTCGGTAACACGAACGGATGAATTGCTGGGAAAAAAATGGCTGACTGATGGCACCATTCAACCGTATTTTGAGCTATTGAATTCATGTATACTTTCAGAGCTTTTGGCAATTGCTATCAATCCTGTAATTAGTCATGCAATAAAATGTATTGAGGATTTTGAACACTTTGTTGAGCCACTAAACCTCGATAGGAAACAAGTTATGATTATACCTGTCAATGATTCAACAATCCTAGATCAAGCTGGAGGATCACATTGGAGTGTCCTTTTTTATTCTAAACATGACCATCATTTTTATCATTATGATTCAATGGATGGTTTTAATACCACTCATGCAGAACTGATTGTTAGTAAGCTAACAAACTATATGAAATGGGACAAGCCATGTTTCACTAACATTAAAGGCCCGCAACAAACAAACAGTTATGACTGTGGGATCTACATGATAAGTGTGACAGATATGGTGATCAATGACATTGTTAACAATAAGAACATTAATATCAATTATATCCAAGAATCAAAAATTCTTGATAGTGACCTCATTTTGAAAAGATCCTACATGGCTTACATTATTAACAACATGCTAATATCAAAACAAACACTGCTGGAGCTTATCACCAAGCCATTAGCTCACAAAATACTCTACAACAAGTCTACTCAATGTTTTGGAAATACTTCAATCAACCAGATGACCAGCTCTCAAATCACACAAAAACTTGTGCCTACCAGGAATGAAAATTGGATTACAGTCAATAGGCCAGGATCAAATATTCAGAAAATGCAAGTAAGGGAAACTAAACATTTTTACAGCAAGAATCGTTTCAGTGTGCTAAAGAATTATAAACCATCAGACAATGACCTTACTACAGCTTCTCACAAGGAGGAAAAAACTCTCAGCACTAGTAATAAAAAAGAGAGTAAAATTAATAAGTTATATGAAGGCCAAAAAGTCAAAACCAACACTCACCAAAGTACAAACACTGATCGCAAACCAGCTCTGTCTATCATTGGCGATAGTCATGCCCGTGGTTTGGCCAACATCCTTCAAGCAGAGAGCGGTGGGAGAATGCACATTTCCGGCGTAACAAAACCAAACGCTAAATTTTCACACCTGAAGAGATATTCTAAATACAAGGGATTTTACCACTTTGGTTTTATTTATTGGTGCCAACAACGCCTACGATTCTGATCTGGAAGAAATTTTTGGAGGCCTAGAGTCTGTATTGCTCCAAATCAAATGCAATGCAATGCATGCTCTTAAGTATGCTTAAGTATTACCTTAGTATGCTTAAGGTATGCTCTTAAGTATACCTTTCAGAAAAGATTTGCCACTAAACCACCCAATCAACTCCAACATCTTTTATTTAAACTTATTTTTAAATGACTTGGCAGGTCGAATAAAATCCTGTGAATTTCATGATATAAGTCTTTTACCAGAACGGTTTTTCTCACACGATGGGGTTCACTTGGCATTGTCGGGGAAAAGATATTTATGTGACAAGCTAATGAAAAGTTCATTCTTAAAATGCCACTTTAATGCACTTCCTCAAATTGATGTTTCTTCCACCAGCCATGATGTCACAGCTATGGCAGTACCGACGTCTCCTTCAGGAGATGGGATATTTGTTTTAGAAGCTAACATGAGGGATGTTTTCGAACAATATCACCATGATTCATCGGTCGCTCTGGCCCACACTATCTCGTCTGACTTTCAACATCATAGACATATGTCGGCTGGTGTAGCCGTGGCTTTCCGAGAAATATATGGCCGACCTAATACTTCAGACCTTAAATATAGCAGACTCACCTGCCAAGAAGTGGATAATGGACCTACCATCTACAGCCTGGTCACCAAGGATCACTATTGGGGGAAACCGACTAATTCAGACTACAACGAAGCTTTTAACCAGCTTATAACAGACTTTAAGACTAAGAAGCTTTCAACTCTCATCTGCTCAGCAATGGGATGTGTCAGAGATCTAATAAAGCCACAACACTTTATTCAAAATGTTATTAACTTCCAACAGCAGACTGGCGCACGTGTGATCATCGTCTCCTATGACCAAAAAGCCGGGCGGAGGCTTTGGAGAGGACTTAGTCACAGCGAGTTTGTGCACACCTTGAGAGAGCTGATCCCACCAGCTGCAGCCACCCTTACACCGCTGGAGCTGACTGGCGCCAACACCTCCACCACACCCTGTCCCGGCAACCACCTGCCCGCATCTCCCCATGGTTCCAGCCAGTGCCAAAGTGTGTTGAGTGATGTGAGCCAGCCAAGTGAGAGTGAAAGTGGAAGTGATGGTAATATCACCCTCAGCCCTGTCACTACCCCTGAAATGTCAACCACCCCCAGCCCTCCACACTCTGTCAGTCCTCCCCACTCTCCAGATTTAAAATCTCCATTCAGAGGGTTTGCAACCCCTAATTCTGATCAACTTAATTATATAACTACTAAAATAGAAATGTAGGCCTATAAGATTAACAGACCAAATGCCATACCTTTTTTAGGAAATTTGACCACGTTCCCCCCATTAGTTACAAAGTAATACCTAACATGACTGATGTGTTTGATAATGGGCAGTATTCTTATCTATAATCTGATAAAGGTGACAAAGGTACGGTAATGAATCTGCTAATTTGCCTAATCTTACTTTGGGAAAAACCTGTAATCATTTAAACAATAACCTAAATAGTTTTAAGCGTTTTGGCCCCCCAAAAAATTCTATCAATAATTTGGATAAAGTTGACCACAATGTAGTAAAGATTTTTCATCAAAATATACAAAATGTTATAAACAGAGTTGAACCGTTGGAAGTCACATTGTCTGAAGTTAATCCTAGTATTATTGTGCTCTCTGAGCATAATATTAAAGACCATGAAATAACTATAGCTTTAAGATTGATGGTTTCAAAAATGCCTCTTATTGTAGGAAATCCTATGCCAGGGGAGGAGTTATGATTATGTCTAAGAATCATATTCAAAGTTCACAGTTTGTTACAAATTCGTTTGTCAGTGGTTTATGTGAGGACAAGATATTTGAGTTCTGTACAACTAAATTTACCTTTAATTCATTCACATTTATTGTTATAGGGATCTATCGGTCTCCTGGTTCTGATGTTTTTGACTTTATAAAGAGATTGAATATTTTAATTTTAAGTATTAATAAAAAATGTGATTATATTATAATGGCAGGAGATTTTAACATAAACATTTTAGATAGCAACAATGTAACTAGGGAATTTACTAATTTATTAAGAAGCCATGGTTTTAGATACATGGTCGATTTTCCCACTAGCATATGTGACACTACTGCAACTGCAATTGACAACATAATTACTAACATCCCTCAGAATAAATTAAAGGTGTATGGGCTGATAACCGCTCTCTCTGATCACGATGCACAAGTTCTTGAAGTTTATTGGCCAGGGGCTGATGTAACAAAAAATAGTTGTATAGCACATTTCAAAATAAAATACAATGACGACAATAAAAAAAATTCCTTAGTATGCTATCAACATAAAGTTGGGATAATGTGTATAATGCTACAGTTGAATCCAAATTTAATACTTTTTTTGACATTTTCTTTTATTATTTTGATAGTTGTTTTCCTAAAACAAAATGTAGGGTATATAATAAGCCTAATAAATGGTTTACATCTGATCTGTTTAAGGCTAAAGAGGAACTGATTAGTTTGACCAAAGATTACATATGCTACGCAAAATAGATATTGCACCTTACGGCAATTTTGTGCCAAGTCGTTTTTGGATGGGGCCACCTTCACGTAGTTGGGTGGTCCCTCAACAGAGGCGCTGTGTCAAGTCTCGATCTGCATTACCATTCCAGTTCGGGTAAGTTCGGTAATGTTCGCGTGCTCGGGATTAACTTGCCTGTACGCAACGAGCTCGCCGACCCGTCGTCATCGTATCTCCAGTTTGAAAGCGCACAGCTGTCATTAATGTACCATAACTTTATTTTTTTACAAAAATGGCAGTTATTTACTTCAAAATTAAAGTGACCATGTAACAAAGAGCTAAAGGATACTAAAGGTTAACTGATATAAAAGTTAATTAATGAAAATCTTCAAAACTGCAGCCACAGTGATAGGCTATAATAAGCTTACAATGTTATACTAGTTTCTCTACATTGAATTTTAACGTACATTTAGAGAAGCCTTAACAATTTAGAAATTTATATTTCTTACAAGTTTTAATTAGTGACTGTAAGTTCGTCGACTTTTCTCACTTTTCTGTTTTCGGAATTTTTATACACAAAGTTCGCTTCCGGATTTCTAGACTCACGCAATATCTTGCTACTAACTCACGATGAGGAATGTATGGTTAGTCAACTACTACCTAACCATTCACTGACTACTTGACTTTTAAACATAGTTTGTAGGAAGAACATTTATCTACACAGATCGGCATTTGTTTTCAAACTACGTATTATCTCGGCACATTATTGGTGTTTTGTAAGTGCCGTTTGCAACTGAGCTTTGAAGAAAATGTAGAGCATAAGATATAAAATATAGATTTTAGATTTTGATTTTTTTATATAACAAATCTTTCAACTGACGACTATATAAAATAAATTTAAGAACACATTGTCTTAACAACAGCAGAACCTTAGTTGTACATAAATTAAAGAGGTTATCTTTACCACATAAAAACGATATTTAGGTTGGAAATTGGAGGTCAGTCACACTCTCGCAATCACACGAAAGTGAACTGACCCGATTGACCCGACATCCCAATTTTGTATGGCCTGTTTTAAACATTATTTTAAACAATAGGTCAAATACTTTGTACCGGAAGCCTGTAACTACATTTTACAACAGGGATTTCGTTCGCATTCCCAGTATAGCTATTCATGGTAAGTTCTTGAATCAACATCAAGGCATTGTAGGCCTATATGGCGTAGCCAGGTTTGGATTGGAGTGCCCTGGATCAGAAATTGCCTAATCGCATCCCTCTCCAAAATTGAACCCCATAAATATATAGCCTAGGATACTTTATTTCCCTCTTAGTCTTCGTTGTTAAACACTTAAACCACAAGTTCAACGTACGTCTATTTTCAATTGACAATAAATTACAAATTATTGCATAATAGTATGATGAAGGTAGTTAATAATAATATATTCCGGAACTCTATCATAACTGTTTTAGGCAGACTCTAAAGATAATGAGACATTGACAGTAGAAATACTGGTGAATTTATCGCTATGTGATGAAAGGGCTGCCGCGAGACGGTGGTGATCGTCTGTAGAGGCAGTAATGAGTGCAGACTGCTGAGTGACAACTGGTGTACATTGATAGTTTGTTAGTACATAACTAGTCATGTTGGTACAGCTTCCTTTTTACTTCTCATATTATTTATAAAGCAGTTAGGTTCAAAATGCAGTTCACACACTATAATCTTGAATGTAAAGCAGTGTCGGGAAGGCCTTTCCGTTTTTTGATTGCCGTGTTTGCCATTTATAACATACACTCGTCTTAATGCCTGGTATTGTTCATGAAAATATCTACATCATAATACGATTTTAATTCACTACACATAGGCCTAATAATAACACTTCTTCACTCTTGCTAATCCATCTTCTAATAAGCCTCGTGTTACAAATTAAGCAAACAACCACAAAATAAAGGTTAACCATAACAATAAACAACAACAAAAAATACGTAAATAACAGCTGGTCATGTCGGCAATGAAGTCTTAGGTTGTGAAGACATTCGCTAGGCTTCGCCACAGCCACCTCTAATACAAGGCCGCGACGTTCGAACTGGCAACGCCGCAATCACACCCCCTCTGCGTCCGTCTTCACACGCGC